ATAATCGAGGTTTTCAACAGCCATTTCATCTACTAACACAAACAAATCTGGTTTTGAATAGATAAACCAGAGGTTAAAATTCTGGTCCCTGACCTTATCTCTATTAAAACCTTTTGGATTATCATTAAATATCCAGATCTTTGTAAAGGAAATCAAACAATTTTAAGGAAACCCAAAAGTTCTTTCTAGAAGAATTCAATTCAAAAAATACTTTATTAATCCAAAAGGAAAATTAAAAATTGGATTTGAAGGGCTCGATGTGAGACCAAGATTATGTAGGAAGCTTGTTGATGGCTCTAGAAAACATTTTCCTAAGGAGTAAACAGCTGAAGAGCTTTAAACTAAGATTGTTTTATATATTTAAGCCTGTTCAAATTCATCCTGTTCAAATGAAAGTAACTTCTGATTAAATTCAAAGTTTTCCACCAATATTTTCTTTTTGGATATCAATAGGGTTTTAGCAAAAAATTTCAAGCTGCAGTTAACCTAAATCATATGAGCTTAATTGATAGAGTAAAATGTCTTTTGATCCAAAAGTCCTTGTGTGACTCCCAGCTTCATTTCACTTTTCATAGCAATGCAATCAGCTAACTACAGACATTAAAGGAAGAGTGACTTAAAATAAAACTGACTTAAGAAGCTGAGATAATGAAAAGCCTGAGACAAACTTTGAGCTTTGAAGTCAAAAGAGTAATTAATTCATCTTCCCACTATTCTGCTGTGTGTAAAAGCTTAAAATTCAATCAGACTGACAGCTGATGGTGTTACTTCAGGTTGCTGTAAATTCCTCTGGTTTCCCCACATGAGGGAAAACATCAGGCATCTTTTAGTTCATTCACAGAAGCATCGCCTCTTCCCTCTCTCTGTCTCTCCCTCAGGTGTTCATGTGTTTGGTCTCCTGGCAACAGCCCTAGTAACAGATGTCATCCAGTTAGCTACTGGTTACCACGCCCCTTTCTTCCTCACTGTGTGTCAGCCCAATTACACAGCTCCGGGAGTATCATGTGACAACAACGCCTACATCACGCAGGACATCTGCATGGGGAAAGACCAATATGCAATCATGTCTGCAAGGTAAAATAAGAGTGGTAGAAATTCATATGTGGATATGGTGATATAGTCCAAAATAATATTTATATATTGATATGTATGTAAACATGCATTATCTTTACACAGCTAGCAATGAGTTATCGTGGTCATTTACATTTCTTTGAATCATATGACCTTAAAAGCTAAAGCAAATATTTGTAATGATACTTTGCATATAAATGTATTAGAGGTATGTTTGACAGCTTAGAATAATGGTGTTTAGAGGTACAGCTCACATGCAGGGGATCAGACAAACAAGCCTCAGCGCGTTGGTATGAACGGCACATTAAATCCGTACACAGGAATGATCACAGCTTAGCAGCACTGATACGGGGATAATCCTAGTAACTGTATTACAATGTGCATGTGAGCGGTTCTATTCTTCAGGGGAGGCATTATTTAAAAGTCTTAAAGAGGTGTTTTTTTTACATCATTATTAGCTTGTATAAGCAGGGAACATGGGACAAGACAAATAATATTGAGAATAAATTGGGACAAGTTCAAATCCGAGCTTTAGCAGGACAGATACATAGGCTTCAGTGTCAGGTATTGTACTTGTAAAATATTTCATTTTGATTGCTTTTTTATTTTTAAAAATGTCGTAACTAAAAATGAAGCCTCTTTTTAGGCATTTCTCTTTGAGCAACGCTTAAAGTTGTTGGTCTTTCTTTGCAGCAAGACCATAAGTTATCAAGTCTTGCATAAAACATGTTTGATCTACTCTGCTCATTATTTTTCTGTAAAAAAGAACAAAACAGTACTTCTTTTTTTTTTTAGTTTTTAAAGCATTAGTGGCACTAGTGGCTTGTTTTTTGGACAGGTTCGGACTGGTTCGTTAAATCTTTTCGCTCTGAGTTACCTTCCTAAATAGGTTTCAGCACGATGCTCCTAAGACAATGTGAGAATAGTGTTAGCTGTGCATTGTTTATTTCGCATGACAATAAAAGGTTTACCTTTGATCCATTTTTTATTTTATTCATTTATTGTTTTTAACGATAGTCTTGTTGGCTGCTAATGTGATTGATGGACTCCTTGGTCTATAAATGTGGGTAGACGTCCATACTGTGTTAGGTTTGTTGGACAGTGAAAAATGGTCCATAGGTTGTCCAAATCTTGGGGTAATATTTGTAGCCCAGGGGTCACCAACGCGGTGCCTGCGGGCACCAAGGGGCCCTCAAGGACCACATGGGGGGCCCTCTTCGTCTTCTGAAAACAGAAGAACTCACTCAGTGGGTTAAGTTTAATTTTTTTTTTATTCTGTTGCTCTTCTTTTTAATAATTTATGTATTATTTCATCATGTTAACTATTTTCTCATATTTCAGTAGTTTAAAAATGACAATATTAAAAAGAAAATTAGAAATGAATAAAAGAATGAAATAAGAATAAAAATTAGTTTTTATGGAAGAGATTTACTGTAGGTGAACACTGATCCCTCCAGTTCATAGGTCAGTATTGGTAGCCCTTCCTATGACTCGGTAGCCATGAAGTAGCCCTCAGCCTTAAAAAGGTTGGTGACCCCTGTTGTAGCCTAACCCTGCCAAAATCTTCTAAAATTTTATCCAGGCATGATCTGGTGTTAATCGTGAAGTTTGCTCTGTAGCAGTGGCTAACAAACCTCTGAGGCCTTCACAAAAGATCAATTTTAAACTGCGATTACATTTTACACAGGTGGACTTTTCTTAAAGGAATAGTACACCCAAAACATGATTAGCCTTCATTTTCTACTCACCTCCATGCTGAACAACACTGGAGT